GCGTACGTACAATGAGCGTTAAGCCCCCACCCCCTGCGTACATACAGTGAGCGGTAGGCCCACCACCCCCTGCGTACATACAGTGAGCGGTAGGCCCCCCAGCCCCTGCGTATATACAGTGAGCGGTAGGACCCCCCACCCCACCCCCATCCCCTCAATTTGATAAATTCATTTATCTTTGTGACATGAAAAATAATTCAATGAATTCCAGTCAAGTTAGTCCAGAGTTAACTAACTTGTGGCGTACGCCCCAGAGGTAGACACGTTGTGGATCATTGGACAGTGAGACATCAGACTATTTGAAGCGTTGCTTCTGGGTGACACATGCTCGCATCTTTTCTTCGCCTTATGAGTTGTATATAAGTTTAAAGTTTAAAACAACCTTAAAGATTTATTTCCGGACTTCCCGAAGTTCTTATGGATATTGACCGACAAGTCCTTTTAGGTCATAGTTTTACCGACTGACTGGTCATTGACCGACAAGTCCTTTTAGGTCATAGTTTTACCGACTGACTGGTCATTGACCGACAAGTCCTTTTAGGTCATAGTTTTACTAACTGACTGGTCATTGACCTACAAGTCCTTTTGGGTCATAGTTTTACTGACTGGCTGGTCATTGACCTACAAGTCCTTTTGGGTCATAGTTTTACTGACTGGCTGGTCATTGACCGAAAAGTCCTTTTGGGTCATAGTTTTACTGACTGACTGGTCATTGACCTACAAGTCCTTTTAGGTCATAGTTTTACTGACTGACTGGTCATTGACCTACAAGTTCTTTTAGGTCATAGTTTTACTGACTGACTGGTCATTGACCGACAAGTCCTTTTGGGTCATAGTTTTACTGACTGACTGGTCATTGACCTACAAGTCCTTTTAGGTCATAGTTTTACTGACTGATTGGTCATTGACCTACAAGTCCTTTTGGGTCATAGTTTTACTGACTGAGTGGTCATAGTTTTACTGACTGACTGGTCATAGTTTTACTGACTGACTGGTCATAGTTTTAGTGACTGACTGGTCATAGTTTTACTGACTGACTGGTCATAGTTTTACTGACTGACTGGTCATAGTTTTACTGACTGACTGGTCATTGACGGACTAGTCCTTTTGGGTCATAGTTTTACTGACTGACTGGTCATTGACGGACGGTTGACAACACTGGTGACACCAAATGGAAAATTGCAAATTTGACAGAATTCGCTCGAGTTGGTTTCTTAACACATCTAGTTACAATACCAGAGCAGGATGTCATCAGACAGAGCAAGAAGCCACCAGACAGAGCAGGATGCCATCAGACAAGGCAGGAAGCTATCAGACAGAGCAGGAAGCCATCAGACAGAGCAGGATACCATCAGACAGAGCAGGAAGCCATCAGACAAGGCAGGAAGCTATCAGACAGAGCAGGAAGCCATCAGACAGAGCAGGATACCATCAGACAGAGCAGGAAGCCATCAGACAGAGGAGGAAGCCATCAGACACAGCCGGATACCATCAGACAGAGCAGAGTGTCATCAGACAGAGCAGAATACCATCAGACAGAGCAGAATACCATCAGACAGAGCAGGATACCATCAGACAGAGCAGGATACCATCAGAAAGAGCAGGATACCATCAGAAAGAGCAGGATACCATCAGTCAGAGCAGGATGTCATCAGGCAGAGCAGGATACCATCAGACAGAGCTGGAAGCCATCAGACAGAGGAGGAAGCCATCAGACAGAGCAGGATACCATCAGACAGAGCAGTGTGTCACCAGACAGAGCAGGATACCATCTGAGTGTAAACAGAAAGCATCGGTGTGACTGAGTGTAAACAGAAAGAAACGGTGTGACTGAGTGTAAACAGAAAGCAGTGGTGTGCAGTGGTGTGACTGAGTGTAAACAGAAAGCAGTGGTGTGACTGAGTGTAAACAGAAAGCAGTGGTGTGCAGTGGTGTGACTGAGTGTAAACAGAAAGCAGTGGTGTGACTGAGTGTAAACAGAAAGCAGTGGTGTGCAGTGGTGTGACTGAGTGTAAACAGAAAGCAGTGGTGTGACTGAGTGTAAACAGAAAGCAGTGGTGTGACTGAGTGTAAACAGAAAGCAGTGGTGTGCAGTGGTGTGACTGAGTGTAAACAGAAAGCAGTGGTGGGACTGAGTGTAAACAGAGAGCAGTGGTGGGACTGAGTGTAAACAGAGAGCAGTGGTGTGATGATAAATACAACACATTGAGGCGATCTCTTTTAAGACTTCAAAAAATAATTAAATGTCATAGATTTACAGATTTTAGGTGTCAGTTGGCTGCATTACAGATATTACAGATATACGAGATTATAGTGTCAGACTTTCAGGATACTGATTAAATGTACGTACTTTCGGCAGCTCCCCTCCCTCCCAATGCACTGGTAAACATAATCTCCAAACACCACCACCCCCTACCCCCACCCCCTGTGCGTACTTCATCAGTGGATGAACCCAGTAACTTAATGATTTAGAAGTTTAAATCTAGTAACTCGTTGCTCTTTGTTATCGTTATTATACTTCCTTGCATTTCGCACTGTAAATTACCGTATGTGCCTGCGGGCGCCCGCAACCCCCTCCCCCCCCCCCCGGGGGCAGAAGCCACATGCGCACAAGTGGTGAAAGGTTGGTGGAAAAAAATGCGTATTTTGTGCCGACGTCCTTTAAGTACAACCCCAAGGGAATGCCCAGCAGGAACGGAGCCTGGCATTTCTGGACTAGGTTTTAAAACCTGTTGTCGGAACTAAATAGGTCAAGTCTTAAACGTCTTGATGCGTTGTCGGAACTAAATAGGTCAAGTCTTAAACGTCTTGATGCGTTGTCGGAACTAAATAGGTCAAGTCTTAAACGTCTTGATGCATAGACTAGTTATTTAGGTTACCGGAAATTTGATCGCAAGAAATTTCGTCGACGGTAAATTGGTCGACGGTAATTTTATTGAAGGGAAATTTGGTCGAATCTTTTTTTCATTTCGCACGTTAAAATTTTCATCAAACTTCTTTTAGAACGCACTATAATATATAGTAAAACAAAATAATGCGTTTAAAAAGAAATTTGAAGCAATATTTTAACGTAAAAACTTAAGAAAAAAAAAAGATCGACCAAATTTCCGTTCGATAAAATTACCGTCGATCAATTTACCGTCGACGAAATTTCTTTCAATCAAATTTCCGGATACGAGTTATTTATGCTCTACACAACTCCCATTGCGGTTAATGAGTTTTTACGAGTAACACAAATATCTATTGATTTAAATAGCATAAATAAGTATCTCTTTCTTTACTTGAACATCGAATCTGTACGTCTGACTAGCAACATGAGTTGCACATCAAATCTGTAAGTCTGACTAGCCAGATGAGTTGCACATCAAATCTGTAAGTCTGACTAGCCAGATGAGTTGCACATCAAATCTCTAAGTCTGATTAGCCAGATGAGTTGAACATCAAATCTGTAAGTCTGACTAGCCAGATGAGTTGAACATCAAATCTGTAAGTCTGACTAGCCAGATGAGTTGAACATCAAATCTCTAAGTCTGACTAGCAGGATGAGTTGAACATCAAATCTGTAAGTCTGACTAGCCAGATGAGTTGAACATCAAATCTCTAAGTCTGACTAGCCAGATGAGTTGAACATCAAATCTGTAAGTCTGACTAGCCAGATGAGTTGCACATCAAATCTGTAAGTCTGACTAGCCAGATGAGTTGAACATCAAATCTGTAAGTCTGACTAGCCAGATGAGTTGAACATCAAATCTGTAGGTCTGACTAGCCAGATGATTTGAACATCAAATCTATAAGTCTGACTAGACAGATGAGTTGAACATCAAATCTGTAAGTCTGACTAGCCAGATGATTTGAACATCAAATCTGTAAGTCTGACTAGACAGATGAGTTGAAGATCAAATCTGTAAGTCTGACTAGCCAGATGAGTTGAACATCAAATCTGTGAGTCTGACTAGCCAGATGAGATGTTGATTACCGAATTCCCTAACTTCCTACAACTCACAGCAGCAGATCTCTATACAACTTTATACATGTAGTTCCCTTTGGAAGCTGGAAGGACTGGGGACTCTCATTTTGTTTACCAACTACCCATGATGATAACTTCCACTCATTTAATTACTACAATGATATGAGATCAAGATACTCCTCAAAATTAAAGATAGTCTTAGCACAACTTACATTACTAGTAGGCCTACCAGCGTAACTCACATGCACAAATAAATAAACTATGATGCCTTTAGGCTTACAACTTACAACTTTTCAATCTCCCTACTTAGCAATTCTTTAACATAACATATTTATTCAATCTTCCTACTCCCCACTCTTCAACAAAATATTACAACATGTCTCTAACAACTCTAAGCCGCATAACCTTGAACATTAACACTTAAAGTATCAAAGAAAAAATATGACTGCCCACCATCTAACATCAATAATCCTGACCAGAATACACCAAACAATGACATATCCATAGTTCTAGCTGCCCACCATCTAACATCAATAAACCTGGTCAAAGTACACCACACAATGACATATCCATAGTTCTAGCTGCCCACCATCTAACATCAATAAACCTGATCAAAGTACACCACACAATGACATATCCATAGTTCTAGCTGCCCACCATCTAACATCAATAAACCTGATCAAAGTACACCACACAATGACATATCCATAGTTCTAGCTGCCCACCATCTAACACCAATAAACCTGACCAGAGTACATCACACAATGACATATCCATAGTTCTAGCTGCCCACCATCTAACACCAATAAACCTGACCAGAGTACATCACACAATGACATATCCATAGTTCTATCTGCCCACCATCTAACACCAATAAACCTGACCACAGTACAATCACACAATGACATATCCATAGTTCTAGCAGCCCACCATCTAACATCAATAAACCTGACCAGAGTACAGCACACAATGACAGATCCGTACTTAACACTGACAAGTGAAACATTGAATGTACTTTAATCTCAGTTACAGTAAGGCGTCAAACAACATCAAAACAGTTATACCATGCATGACTTTGTTTTGAGAAACATTTACATAAAGGGTGGCATTAGCCTGAGAACAGCTCTTACAGTTTAAAACATCATCACCTGAAATTGTTTGTTACATTAGACAGATACAAGTTAAACAATACATTTATTAAATTAATTTCATCACTTGTAAATCAATACTTTAACTTTTAAAATCATTTTTTTTTTAAATTTTTATCAAAATTTACCCTTAACAAAAGGTCATAAATAACTTCATCATAGTTTCAGCCTGAACAATAGGCCATAAATGGAATTGTGCTTTTGTCAAGAATATGGCACCACATTGCCATCGTTTATATATAAATGGAATATATCGTAAAAATAATATGTAACTTAGTAGTTGAAAACCTGAATCTTGAATTAGAAATCTTTATTATTTTGATGACTGTATTATTATCTATATATTAAAACACTGCTTATTCAGGCTTTATTCACAGGCATAAGAAGATGGGGGCAGAGGGGCCGGGTTGCCTGGGAAGGCATTTTTTGTCCACTCCATATACTTATATCCCTTATGTTTATGTGTGGATTGTATGCATTGTAGTTTTCATTGCTTAGGGGTGGCAAATTTAAAAAGCGCATCACAAACTCTAGCTACACCACTGGGTTTTACTATAGAGAAATGCACATGATTCATTCACATTCAAATGAGTATTAGCATAGATCATTGCACTGTCAGAGTTTGAAATATGGAATCATGAAACTTTTCTTTCCGATTTTTTTCAAAATTAAATACTGGAGACTTGTAATTGATGAACAATACTTATGTTTACACTTACACAAAGGTAATAGAGTTTCTGAAAGCATACATTCATATTAAATATAAATCTTGGCATCTTTATGGTACGCTTTTGTTTGGCAGACAAATAATTGTAATAAATTATAATTTTCATTAATCACCTCGAAAAAAGATGATTCTATTGTATTCTATATACTTCAAACAGCAAAAAAGATGTAAACAAATCTAAAAGTTTAAAAAAGTAGAAAATTCAATTATTAGTAGCATGACTATCATTAATAAAACATTATTGGCTGAACAGATTTGATAAATGGAATAATTGGTTCACTATTCACCTAGCACAGTGCTATTTAAACATATATCATTGGTATGGCATGAGTATCAATAACATCGACCAGGAATGGGTAGTTTTAAAATGTACTTTGCGCGCCATTTTAATTTTAAAAATTATTTCACTATATCATTCTTGTTTGTATTTATGTCACAACAAGTCTAAGACTGTACTACGATCCAACTTGAATGTGGCTGTCTCCCATGTGATGCCGTCACCAATAGGATCATGCCGAGATGGCAGGAGAACATGCCAGATAAAAGACCTGGGTAGTAAGGAATCGTGAGTGAATCATACAGACATTTTTCTTAATTTTGACAGTTGATAAATTTATGTATTCATTCAACATGGAATAACAAAGTAAAATTTGCTTTTAAAAGCAAACTACTCTTTAAGAAGATATTTGCTATTCAAGAAAATTTAATTTAGATAAGTTTTAAATTCACAGTTGACACTCTGTGACTTTCTAGTTTTACTATTCCCAAATTCAGACTTATAGAGCTAAGTTAAGATATAAAGAGATACAGTTAAGACATGAAGTGTTAGAGATAGGACTGGCTTCAGTTCTAATTATTTCTTATGTCCACACCAAAATAATATAGTAAATTTTATTGACACCCATTCCTTTGATTCACACTTACATTAAATAGTCGTACAAAAATTTAACTGTTTTAAAGATTATTTACAGTTGGCTGGGAATAATGATTGTTAGCGGTAGTAAGCCATTTATCAGCTGGGAATATTGCTGAGTATTACACACAGTTGGGAATAACGTTGAGCGTTATCCCAGCCGACTGAGTATAATAATAGTGGTATCATAATAAAGTCTGTTGAAATTAAAACAAATTATAGGTTCAATGCAGCCCACACTTCTGCTATATTTCTTTTTTTTTTTAATTGCTAGCCGTAGTGAACCATTCATCGGTTGGAAATAAATACACAGTCGGCTGGGAATAGCGTTGAGCACTATTCCCAGCCAACTGTGTCTAACAACTCTTTTTTAAGCAAGGAAGTTAACCTTATCAAATACTCACCTCCCTTTTCCTAGGCCAAAAAATAATTTCCAGTTTTTCACAAAGCCAAAGTTGTAGGGATTATTAAATTTCTGTTTAAAAAAAAATAATAAAAGAAATAACAATTAATTATTTTTCTCCTATTTCATTATATATTTTGTATCTTCAAATTTTTTTTAAAAGCAACCTAATTACAAAGCAATGTTAAATTCTTTACACCTTTAAATAACATTAAATATGACTAACTGAAACAGCTAATCAGCTGCACACCCCTCTGTCCCTATTAAATAAACTCCATTCTATAAATAGATTTTTGACCTTTTTAAAAAAAACTTTAGAGATCAGTTTATTAAAAACAAAAATTAATTAAAACCCTCTCTTCTTGTATAAGGGCTTCTCAAGTTAATATCTCTAAACAGTTGGTTTCATTTTTTCAATGCCAAATAATTAAAATATCTTAATTCCATTCATTGATCTGATGGAGTATTTACATATTATTATGTTGTCCATGATTGTTAAATTGATATAATGCATAATCTTATACCTAAAATCCTAAAAAAAGGTGACCTCAACTATTTAGTTGTGAGTAATTTTACTCTCAATGAATGCCTTTAAAAAAATCAACATACCAAGTTTTTCTTCTTCAGTCTGGCCCTTTCCTTGTTGTTGATATGCTGCTCAATGCTGGTTTGTCCTGTGGAGATGAGCCGTGCGTGCCAAACACCCAGTAGGCCTAACGCCACAGCCACACCAGCGCATAGAAGAAATTGTAAGATGACAGCACTGTGTAAAAACTGACCTTCCAGGGTCGCCTTTATCTCCCCTTCATTTTCATTCATGTCAACCTCTTTGTCTGTGTGTACTGACTCATTCCCCATTCTTTCCACCTGAGTAGTCATTTGTAAAATACATCAAGATCACAGCATTAAAGCAGAAAAAAATAATTTAGTAATTAAAATACCAAAAGAAATGTAAATAAAGTGTCTAAAAATGCAGTTACAGCTCTTCACACTATAATATAGGATTTTTTGGGTTGTTGTTAGCGCCTCTTACAATGATAAGCATTTCATAAACCAATTACAGCTTTTCTTTGAATTGAAAGTTTACATCTTTTTTTTCCCGCAGTAATTCAATACATTGAAAAAGTGGAATCACAACTGACTTACTTTGTTCGGATTATTCCACAAGTGATATGCCATATTGACAGGAAAGAAAAATGCTGGAACTATCAGCTCCTAGAAAAAAAAATATAATGTCATTAAGTGCTAAATTATTATCTAAATTATACGATTTAACAAAAATGACATCAAGTTTATGCATTGTAACTTTGAAATAACTTTGGAAAAGTATATATGATCTGCTAAGCCTTAAAAACATTCAAAATGATGGATCCTTATTCATTACAATCCAAATGAAATAAAAATGTAGATGGCTCAAACAAATAACCTTGTTTCCAAAAAAATGTTGCTTAAAGACATCATAGCCAGCTATACTTGCATACACGGTACCAAACCACATGTAGAACACAAACTGCAAAAAATAGCGGTGGTTGTAAAAGCCAACGCAGTTATTCAGCCAAGCTGGCTTGAGGTTAAGGTTAAAGATGCTATGATAAAGAAAATGTGTATTCATATTTCAATATTTACAAAAAGTAGTAGTAAAGCACTTTTGAAATAAAGATAACCAACGCATAACGATGTTTGTTTCATTTGTGAGCATCAAAGAGAGGATAAGTTGCTTACAGCAGAAGTAGAGTTTAAATCCAGGTCAAGCTCAAGACATCAATGAGCTTGTAATTTTTTTTATTTCTACAGGGGATGCAACAAGAATTATGTCAGTTTATGATTTAAAGTGTTCTAGTTTTAACTAATTATATACAAAAGTGTACTATGCATATATTCTGTCATACAATATTTGTCCATACAGTTAATGAAAAATTGTTATTTAAATACTTTTGGTCGCTATTGAATTATTTCAGTTTCACGTAAGTAGAGTATTTGAAAGAAAGGCTGCTCACAATTAACATAAATGTCATTCATATAAAAGAAATCACGGAGTAAAAGATACGGCAATGGTGATCCATTTTCAGCACACATGTAGCACATATTGTACAGTGATGTGTACGGGGTGGTTTAGGAGCAATGCATTTCTTGCATATTGACACAACTTCAGATACATTCTGAAAATAAAATTATTTTTACAACTTTATTTAGATCATAGTTATAACAACCAATTTTTTTTTTTAAATACCCTTAAATACCACGAATATAAAGAACAAAAGCTCTCTGTTGTTGGTTCACATGCTTAGTAATAAGCAAAATGCTTTGATATTTAGGTATTTTTGAAATAAAGATTTCCTAACATATCAGCATCTCCAAGCATTGCAAAAATTCACATTTTAGGCAGTACCCTTTCCAGGTCAGTAAAATAGATTTCATCTATACCAATATATTATTAAATTTTAAAATAAATGTGATACATTCCTGCTTTGAGGAAAAAGTTGAATAGAGCGTAACTGTACAATCTCTGTTAGGCTGCTTATTGTGTCTCATTAAGGGCAAGTTAACCTCTCTGCAATATGTTGCACTATTCTCTAACCCAGGCCTGCACAACTCAAAATGTAAGGATGGGTCATAATAATTTATGAAAAACAAAATAAAATAGGACGGGTGGGAAAGCTATTAGGAAAACGATAATAATAATAAATATTTCGTTACTTTGCAGGCCGCAAAGTGGGTACTGGCGGGCCACATGTGGCCCGTGGGCCATATTTTGTGCAAGCCTGCTCTAACCTAATAATTTACCTGTGAAGGATGGCCAGGTTTGGTGAATGCGGCCATCACATAATTGAAAATAATGTTCACAAGCAGCCAGTGGGCAAAAACAAAGTGGAAGCCTGTCCAAAATAAATCTCTTTGATATACAATATGGGGAAAAATACAAACATAGAAGACCATGACTACTAAAGTTGTCAGGAGAACCACAAGTGTCACCATGATCTGAAATACAAACAGCATATGAATTTATTTAAAGATGTCTGGAGTGTTCCCTTTGAACGCTAAATTATTGTCAATTAATTATTTTTAAGAAATGAAATGATAAATAGAATTATCTGATGCATTATTTTCCCCCAAATCTAGATAATCTTTACTATATCCAAACTGTCAGAATTAAGTTTTGATAATAAATTAAGCATTCATAGCAAGTTTGGAAAAGCTTATAAATTTATTTTAAGCTTTACATCAATATCCCTTTCCCCCTTAAACATAATAATAAAAAAATAGTAAGTTCTCATTTAAACATTCAATATTATTTTTCATTTAATCATTATTTATAGTAGATGAAATAAGAGTAGGCAAAAACAACCTTTAGTCAAAATTTCCTTAAAAATAATGACATGGATTAAGTTTAAAATAAATTACTTCTTTTTAACATTTGTTTATGCCAAATCATTTCTGTCCTGTTTTAAATAGATATCAAACTTGAAAGTTAATCTATATAAAATAATTACCGGTCCCATGAAGCGTGTTGTGTGGTCAACAAGCCAAAACATAGGCTCAAAGGCAGTATCAATTGCTGTATTCCAGCTGGTAAACTGATTGTAGAATAATGACATATAGATGATGCGAAATGATGTGAAGTATTCACAAACCAATACTTTCAAACGTTTTGGTAGTTCAAATATCCTCCAATGTACAAGCGCCATTTTGGATGGGGTCAATTCCAACTGAAAAAAAAAGTTAATCAGAATGGAATTCATTTTGTATACTTACAATGTTATAAAACATGAAATGTAGGCTTTCATGTTTTCTTTTGAAGATTTCTTGGACCCTCTGTAGCACAACAGAAATGTATCTGATTCCAAATGCAAAGGTTTTATCTTGGGGAGTAGGAAATCCTTCACTAACTTCAAAGTAACAATTAAATTGTTAAAGGAAGTAAATGAATTTATACTTGAAACTTGAAACTGATGACAATGTCTCTAAGATTAAAATATTATTTTAAAAAATTTTAAAAAGTGTAGACTAAATAAACTGCTGCAACACTGTAAATTAAACAAATGTGGTGACTACTGATTTTTGTTATATGCCCTAACCTGCCAGCGAAAGTTCAAATCACCCCTCCCATTAAATTCATTAATCTAACACAGGCCTGCACAACATACGGCCCGCAGGCCACATTCGGCCCGCCAGCATCCAGTTTGCGGCCCGTGAAGCAACTAAATATTCTTTAGTCTTATTATTTTCTTGATAGCTTTCCCCCTGTCCTATTTTCTTCTGAAGCGCACAAGTCCTGTCCTTTTTTCTTTTGGCCTGCACAAGTTTTTCATAAAGTATTACGGTCTGCCTAACATTTTGAGTTGTGCAGGCCTGATCTAACGACTTATATTGTGTATATTATAGTGAAGATAGTATATTTGAATGTATTTATAAATGATTTATTTAAAACAATGCTGTGTTGTAGCCCCAACACTTTTTAGCAATGGTGTTCTTAGCAGCACTGACTGATGGTTTTCTTGACAATATTGATTGCATTACTTTAAGATAAAGGAGAGATGAAGGGTTATTTAATCTTAGGAGACTGCAAGCCATTACGAAAATTAAAGAAACGTTTATCAAGACCTCTTATTATTTGTTGATGATTGCGCCCTAAATGCATGTTCGGAACTGAAAATGCAGCAAATACTTGATCGCTTTGCTAAGACCTGGGACAACTACGGCCTCACCACCAATTAGAAAAAAAAGAGATCTTGCACCAGCCAGCTCGAGCAAAAGCTTACAAAGCACCTAATTTATCAGTGAAGGGACAATATTTCCAAGCATTGCAAAAATTCACATTTTTGGGCAGCATCCTCTCCAAGTCAGTAAAATAGATGATGAGATCAACAACCCAATTTCCAAAGCAAATGTTGTTTTTGGAAGGCTCCACAGGAGTGTCTGAAAGTGAAGGGGTCTCTGTCTCAACACTAAGCTGAAAGTATATAGGGCAATCATATTAACATCTCTCCTATATGCTATCCAGACATGGACCATTCACATCAGACATGCTAGACAAATAAACCATCCCTGTCTACACTATATATGTAATCTTGACATAAGGTTGCAGGACAAAGTCCTTAATACAGAAGTCTTAAAACAGGCTCAATTTATCAGCATCTAAATACTCCTACAAAAAAGACAAGCTGGATGGGTAGGTCATGTTGTGAGATGTCAGACAGCAGACTTCCTTAACAATTAATGTTCTGTGAACTCTCCAAAGGAAACACAAGCTGGAAAAGCAGACTTACTGGTGGAGTACAATCCTCAGAGAGTAAACACACCACTCGCACCTAAAAAAAATGCACCACTCACACCTAAAAAAGAAAGCGCACAGGAAGGAAAAGCAGAATCAATTTCAATCCAACTAGAAGCTAAAGTGTGTCCCACACGCAGAAAAGCTTTTGAGGCACAAATAGTACTTGCAAGTCACCTGCGTAATCATTGTTGAATATATATAATTATGTAGCCTATTTTAGCCATCCCGTGGTCATCTTTGCTTGAGAAAGAGGAACAAGAACATTTATAAAAAGATATTCATATTATCATCATATCCTTATGACTAATCCTAGCTACAGTCTATACTCGTTCACAACCGTGAATCATAAAATGGAAACATTAGTTTGATCTCATTCTCTTTTGTTTATTGTTTTGTCAGCTGATGGCGTAGGTTTCTTCACTACAAGTCCATCACTATTAAAAATTGACTTGAATTTGAATATCCTGTTTAGTGCTTTTACTTTTAATAATTTCAAGCTTACACTTACATATAATATAATATATATATTTTTCTTTATGTACTATTTTCATAACTATGCGTGATTTACCCAGATATTGCGTAGGCGTAGGCCGAACTCGTATGTAACTACTGTGCAAAATGCATTAAATGATCCTATTCGTGATTTGGAATTCTAACGGGAACTCTTTCTTTTGGTGATTGTATCTTTATAAATATTTTGTTTACAGCAGCCATATTGCATATGTAGCAGTTTAAAAATAATGCAGTCACCACTGACTACTTTTATGGCATCGGTAAAAAGGACACACTAAAGGCTGCGTTTACTTTGACTTTACCGTTATGAAAAACGTAGCAGATCCATGGATCTTAGGCTACATTTACCGTTGCGATCGTTGTATCATTACAATTTGATAAATTTATAACAATAATATTAAGTCACATTTTTATAGATACATTTCCATCGGCATTTATTTAGATGGACAAAGATTTCTAAACGTCCACTTATTTTAATTTTACAAATACAAAAGTTCCCATATCTGGGAAAAGCTATCAAATCATATGTTTTTATTTCGGTAAATAGGGAAACCCTTTATCTTCAGTCTTGTTGAAACTGAAATCTGATGGCACCTTTAAGTATTTGTTATACTAGTGCTGGGTGTAACAGATGTCCATTCAGCGCAGACTGGGGAAGGAATGGATTAATTTGTTTTGCATACAGTAATGCTATTGCAATTTACCAGCCAGAGGTATTTAAAAAAATATAATTTTGTTAAATGGTATTGGCACCTTCACCTGTGAGTGAGAGTGCGAGTAGGTAGCATGCCTAAGTGCCCCAAGCCTATAAAATAAAACTTATACATTATACTAATAGTAGAGTAGAGTATAGGTCATATCCATCCATCCCTGTGGCGCTACAGCCCATGAAGGGCTTTGGCCTGCCTCACCACTTCCTTCCACTCAGACCTAACTAATGCCTTACTTTTCCATGCTTGGACTTTCAGCTGCTGTAGATCTTTTTCTACATCATCTATCCACCTAAGCTTAGGCTTAGGTCTGCCTTTCAGCCTTTTTCCTCTTGGGTAACGGTGATGTAACCTCTTCGTTCCTCTGTCATTTGGCATTTTCTCTAGGTGTCCTGCCCAGCGTAGCCTGCCTCTTTTTATTTCTGGCACTATCGTGGGATCCTGATATAGACTGTATAATTCCTGGTTGGTTCGTATACTCCATCCATATTCATCCTTTGTTGGCCCATATATTTTCCTGAGAACTTTCCTCTCCCATGTGTTTAATAGGTTTTCTGCTGTTTTTGTTAGGGTCCAAGTTTTACTTGCATATGTTACAACTGGTCTGATCACAGTTTTATAAATAGTTTTCTTTGTTTCTCTTGTAATGTTTTTACTTTTGAGTATTTTCTGACTACTGAAGTATGCCCTGTTTCAGACTGATATTCTTTCTTTTATTTCTGTTAGTAATTCGTTTCATTATGCAAGTGACTGTGAATGGTTGCAAATGACAACGTGTTGCACACGGAAAAAAATTCTTATATTTTGTAATATTGACTCTACAGGGTTTTTAAAGCTCAAATTAAAACATTCCAGTTTAAATGTCTTCAAAAGGCATTCTGAAACACAAGTTATCAAATATTTTGATGTAAATAGTGGTCATAATTAAATATTTCCTAAGTATCGGCAACTTCCGCCATTAAAAAGGGGGCGTGGCCCACGCCATGTCAAAATTAGGCTGAGCGACTTTATTGTGATATGGGTCACGAGGACAAGCGTAATGAACGTCGGGCATGACCTACATCAATGAGAATTGGCACACGTATACTTCAATATCTAATGCTTTTCACGATTTAATATGAAAGACCTTTTCTTTTTATTTCACAAAAAATTATGTATGCGAAGATGCCTTATATATACCAAAGATTTTCAAAATAAAGGTCGATTGAAAAAGCAAAATAGCTGGATGGAAATGTAGGCCAAGATGTCTTCCAAAGTGAAAAGGGGGAAGGGGAACACAATTATATGTCAAAAGGACTCATTTATTAATGAATTGACACTCACATTAAAAAATTAAAAAGTGGGATTTTACTGCGCCGACTCCCATTTCCGATACCAATTTTGAAGTAGTCTCCCTTGCTTTACCGCAGTATCTAATATGTTACATTTAGAAATGGCATCAGCAGGGCGAGTCTAGACTCTTATGCCCTCCCCCCCCCCCCCCCCCCCCCCCCCCCCCCCCCCCCCCCCCCCC